GACTACATACGCAGTATACAAAATTCACACATAATTATAATAAGCATTATGATCCAGCTTTGACTGTTATTGACTTCCTTCTTCTTGTATTTTCTTTAATTTTTTATAATTATCCCAATAAATTGTGAATTAAACTGTAATATAAAATAGATATTAATTACAAATCCATAAATATCGATTTTTATTAAAAAAATGGATGTTCCAGCATTATGCAAAGTAATTTCCAACATAAAATACTTAAAAATATGTATACCAAGTAAGACCATTTTGCATTTGAAAACCATTTAAAATTCCCATTTATCTATTTTATATTTAAAATGGATTAAAAGAATCTATTTTACATTTTGTATTTTAAATACTCTTTTTAAAAGTATTTTATATTTGGTATTTTAAATGGAATTCGAAAGGCATTTTACCCCAGCCCTGTATTTTGGATAATTAAACATTCTGCATATCAACGCATTGCCAACCGCGTAGACATTATTTTACTCTCACTTGCCCTTTAATATTTATATTTTAATTGTTTGTTTACCGAGAGTCTAATATATATACTTTAATATACTTTAATATATTTTTTCCATTTTATATTTCCCGAAACATTTCCTAGATATGCGTCGATTATACCTATTTTGTAATTCTTCGAAGGCTTTATTAGCTCTTCTTACAAATGGAGAAATGAAATGTCCAGGTCATTACTGTTGCAAAAACACCAGGAAGCTCGCCACGTGCCATTATTGCGTTAATTAGTGTCGGATCCCAGAGTACCTCTTTGATATCCGGAACAAGCCGAACAGCAGCGCCGCGTTTCGCTCCCGTTAAAGGCAAAGACCGAGGTGCTATTTCACGAGCCCAAGGGCTCAATGAATGCAGGTGTTGGGAACTCAGAAAGACTAATTAACACCTCGCGGTCGAAAGGATTCCTTGCATTTTTAATACAAAGACGGGCTATAATTTTATTTGAAGAGTCAGCGACGAAAAAGAAAGAGAACCGATAGCCGATATAGGAAATAAGCTCTTTATCGAAAAACGGATTTATCTGAATATAGAATTGAAAGGAAACTGGATGTTTATTTACCAGTTCGATTTATTCGTACGAAACTTTATCTGTATCCGTCGCCGCCGTTTGCATAATTTGAAAGGACGTCGATAATTATTCAGATAAATACATAAAATTAAATACACAACTGTGACAATTTCATAAATTTATTACACATAAAAGTAGTGATTATATGAATCAAATAATATAATTTTATAAATAAAAAGAACAGTCGTTCAAGTGATTGTTTAAGTAAATAGTAGTCGATACTAGATCGTTAAAATAATGATTTCCAACTGTGACGCAAACACAATCACGTAACGTGACATAATTATTGGGTCGTGAGATACTCATTCATTAGATATCGTTTAAAGAGACGCTCGTACAATCTCCGCTATCTTTACACCTACGTATGTGATAAGAGGTTTTCTCTTTCGAATAATTACGCGCGATATCGGAGACTGCGATCTAAGAAGAGCAGGATTAACGTGTTGACCTCGATTTATCCGATCGACTGTTAAGATAAGACATAATGTGACAATGGCACTTTCCTTCTACCGCCGAGCTTTTGTCACAGCGTTCAGATATTATCCTTGTTCAAACGAGTCTGTCGGTCTGCACATGTCGGAAGTCTAAGAATGGAACTCGTGCAGAGAAAAAGATAGGATATCACGCTGCCACTGAAGCGGAAAAATTTATATATAATTCTGAAATACAAAAAGCCAGCGTGTGTTATTCGAAAATAAGATTATTATTCGCGTGCATATAAATATTCAGAAAGGGGAAAAGCGAATGTTTAGTCTTAATTATAAAAAATACAATTTTGTTTTCTTCTTCACGACCATGTAAGTAATTTATGCAACTTTTGTTAGTTAGAGTTAGCTTTGATAGTATTCGAAAACCTAGAAATAATTTTTGCAAGATTTTTGAGCCAAAAAAGCAGCATATGTGATAGGATATGAGTACTTCGTTCACAATTACATATTTTGTTTTTAATATTGGTATTTTGCCTATACTTTCTTCAGGAAAACGAATAAAAGTGATGATTTACAAAAAGTTATGATAAAAGTTATTTGCTTTGCAAAACCTAATATTTTTCATATTTAAAATCGGGAACGAGAAAAGGACATTCTATAAACTTTAAAATATCCAAAAAGCAATTTGTTTACGCAAAATATTGCTGTTTATGTGACAACTAAAATTAGTATAACTCTCCTTCTGTCGAAAAAAATCTTAGATACACTCATGCTAGCGCGTCAAGTAGTTCGGAATAAATCGAGTTTGAAATGCATAATTTATAATGTTTATATAACCTAATTCATAAAATTTTATGAATTTAACTCATTTTTACAAAATAAATCAGCATGTCGTTTTAAACACCATCTAACTGCGGACGTTAGGCAGTCTTGCTCCTGCATAAATAATGGATTTTGGACGGAATGTCATCTACATAGATATTTCACTACGAACATTACTTGGGCTCTTGTTGGGCTTTTGTCTGTATGGACTAGAGATTTATACGCTTGTAGAACGCGTTCTCTCTATTAGTTATTGCAATTTTAGAAATTTATCGACTCGTTCGTGTGAACTTTTTAAAAGATAGTAAAAGGTAACTGTTCCAATATATATAACTATGTCTATTAATTAAAATCAACGATATATTTTTAATTATAAAATATTTGTCAATAACAGTAAGAAAATATGATAAACTAAAAGGAAAAAGTTATATATTTTATACAGATTAATTATAAATAATAAAAACATATCATTTTAATTTCAAATTATTGTAAAAAAACTGTTTATTTTAAGTTTTGCAGGGGTAATTATATTTTCACTTGTTTTTTAATCATCTTGAGAAAGACTTAAGCAAAACCATATAGGATAATGTCTATATTTTCAATTTTTAAAAATATTGTACTATATTTATCTCTCTGACACATAGTATATTTTTTATGATTATAAAAAACTGAAAAAATTTTTTAATTTTACATTAAATTAAAACAAATAATAGAATCTTATTTTACGACCGTACATTGTTAAACAATAACAAGAAAGAAGGAAGCACAAAGCGAAGCCTATCGGTCAAAGCTAGATCAAGATATTAAAAAAAATTTATTTTATTAGACTTTAAAAGTTGCTGAAATATAGTCTAATATATAATATAATGAAATCTCACTTAAGTATCTTTCTTAAATTTATATAATATACTTTTCAATCATTGTGTGACAAATCAAATTTTTATTTAAATATTAATTCCTTTTGTAATATTGTCAATAATAATAGCACCGAAGAATACCACGCTTTGGGAATGAAGCTTTGAACTCGCGAAATATAAAGATTAGTTTGCAAATCCTTTTCCTGTGAACAAACAGGAATATTCTCTTATAAAATATCGGTAATATCGTAAATAGTGAAAAAAGAAATATAAGTCAAAGTTTTTATTACCTCATCTCAGTTTGCTTAATTATAAGCAGTAGATACTTGCTGTAAACTGCTAGAAAAAAACCTGTTTCTGACAGAAAAGGTAGAAAGTATATGCTAATATTATTTCGCTGACTTTTCCTTCGAATATATTTACTAAAATATATAGAGCGTGATTAAAGAGCGCTGCTTACACAGCACATTTTATTTATTAAAAATCTAAACGAAGCAAAACGTCTCTACTATTTTCCGGCTAAACGATGCCATCGATAGGATTGGAAAGAACCTAAAGAGCCATGGCTCCTACCTTCACATGCCCGTATTTCCATGTGAAAAGAGCGACTGCTGGCAGGCAAGCGATGATGCAGCACTCCAGGATAAGTATCGCCGTTCGCATCAGCCAGTTCAGGGATACAACGCAGGGTGAGCCATCCTCGCAAGACTCGCACCCTTCGGCACACGGCAGGCATTCGAACACTCCGCTCTCGGCGTATTGGCTCTTTTCACCCTATTGACAAACGCGAAATTATTATTCTCAGAAACGGATTTTCTCCGCAAAGAAAGCCTGAAATTACTTATCGCAAATAAAGAAGACATTTCTTTGATTTTTGATAACAAATATTGACGTCACATCAGTTTTCTTTTTCTATTCAAATTTTGTGTTACAAATTGATTTTGTATTATATTTGACTTCAGGATTATGACTTTAGCGAATTACAGAGAATGCAAAAGTATTCATACAGGAAAGATATCTTTAAAGAAGATTATTTTTAAAAAGTAAGTATTAATTAACAATTTATTAACAAAGAATAAAATAGATTGTAAGAAATATAAACGAAGGGCCAAGAGCCAAATGTTGACATTTAAAACAATAATACTTTAATTTAAATTAATAAACATTACAAAATAATAAAAACAATTATCAACAGACGTTTCGACACCGATCGGGTCATTATCAATGTTCACAAAAATATTTTAAAAAAACATATGTCTACAGAATAAAATTTATTATTAATTAACGCCGTCTTCATTTAATTAGATATTGCAGTTGAATGTATTGGAATAGTCAAATAAAATTGGAAGTTCTTATTTAATAGTCAAAACAGCAAACATTCAAAGTCCATATAAGAGAACAAATATATAGTAATATCTGTAAAGAGTCATTAACAAATCGAATAAAATGAAAATGAATTCTAATCTGAATGTAAGATAAAACGTATATAATTTGTACCTTAAGCGTAAAAATCGAAGAGAAAGCGTGATTCCAGTTCATATTCAATATTACTAAAATGAGCAAATTTGTCACTTATCGTATGTGAATCCGGCGACTTCCAATTGTATAATGTTAGGAAAGGAAAACATATACTTAAGACAGATAATCGAAAGAACAGGGACAAGGATAGCGTGTATTAGGAAGGAGAAAGGGAATGTATAATATTAGAATATATTTCAGGCAAAGATTCCGTGTCATTTTGTTTGTTAATCATTCTTTTGTTTTTTAATATGTACCATTTTAGAAATTAGCCTTTTACTATAAGAGAGTTCAATGTCTAGAATATCCACTTTATCCCAATTAAATTTATAATTTTTTTCTATACGGTGGCTAGTAATTATAGATGGAGATTTTGATTTTTTATTTATATCTGTGATATGTTCTTTAGTTGTCATCTGGTTATTATAGTTTTTATATTATAGTTGTCATCTTTAGTTAATCTGGTCTTTAGTTGTCTCTTTGTTTAACCAACATAACTTACATCACGATATTTACACGATATTTTACCACCACATTTTGATTTTGTAAATATTCCAATTGATCTTTTCCTCTTTTTATGTAATTTTTTAAGGTATTTGGAATAGTAAAGGCCAATTACTATTGCAGACGTTAGCTATAGGTGTGAATTTTTGTGATACTGACTCTACATGAGAAATTGTAAAAAGTTTATTGGACTTATTATTATTGTTAGACGTTCTATTGTTATTAATATGAAACTTGATTCTATTATGAATAGTTGAAAGAATAAAATTTAAAGGGTATCCGTTATTTAAGAAAATAGATTGTATACGGAAAAAAAGATTTGTTAGAACAATTAACTAAAAACTTTACTGATTTAGCAAATATACAACAGTAATATACGGACACTATTTTTTTTAAATTTGCAAAATTATACAGCTGAATGAAATTAACGATTATAAATAATCATATTTATTGTAATAGCATAATAAATTGTTAATACAGCAAAGATAACTTTAAACAAAAATCATTCCAATACATAGATTAACATTTTTATAAAACATGCTAGCTGAGATGATATACATATTTTTGTCACTGTAATAAGAAAAACTTGTTACATTAGCAATTTTTATTGTAGCCAAGAATTAGCTAAATTAGCATACTGAAAATTACTCACGCTGCTTACGGACATAATTCCTTTGTTAAACCATCCAATTTTTTAGTTACAAATGTTGAACTCGCGAATTATAATAGCAAGTTATAATAGCTTTGCTGAAATCATCCAATCTATTTTTTTCATGTATATTTTTTAAAATTATATTTTATCTAAAAAGATATGTAATGAAATAATATTATTTTAATAATAAGCAAAAACAGTATTATTCAAATGCACAAAAAGTATTTGTACAGTCGAGAAATTTACTTCTGAGATGATAAAGGCAATTATTTTCGCGAAGCTCTTTTGTTTATATTAGGACAGAACATATTCATTATTACGCTCCGTGCCAGAACAATTTTATATGATTTTACCATCACGCTACATGAGTTACCGGAAACTCACTCGTTTACATTTGTTATATTTGTAAAATAATATGTTTGTTATAATGATTAAAAAATATATATGTATAAATTATTATAAAGAAGAAAGCATAACATGTTAATATTGCGTCATACATCATAATTATGTACCTATATATGTAAAATGTAAAAAATTATTTTATAAGTATGTTTCTCAAAAAGCCTGAATGGAAAGTTCACTGGTTCACCGATGATCCACGGAACGTGTCAATAAATTACTAATTAATATTATTTAATTTTCTAAAATAATGTTTTTCTTATAAAAACCTTCTCTGTATGAATATTTTAACATTTATTGTAATTCTCTATTTGTTTTATTCTAAATCAATTCTATGATTAGCAAATATATAGTTCTATTTAAATAAATATATAATTCTATTTTAAATCACACACAATAATATCTTAACGGTATATAGGTAATCGCACTTCTCTCTTCGCAAGTTCCTTCCTTTTCAGTATTTCTATATCCAGTAATATTTACCATAAATATCCGAGCATTAATGAGAATCGACATATATCGTGAAAATCTAATTCTTGAAAAATAAAGTAGCAGAAAATGTTTTCCAAAATTATATGTAAAATAATTCATCTTTACAATCAGGACGGTATTAAAGAATATAGGAGATACTGTTTAAATTATCACGTTTATAAGATTGATTTTTAGGGCAAAAAAATGCCTAAAAGGTCATACATAAAAAGATATTTCATGGTGCGAAATGCACTTGTGGATAATTCGCATAAAAGACTAATAAAAAAAAGGAATAAAATAATTTCCGAGTTTCTCTTTTTTTTTCAGTTTACTTTCGCAATAGAAAGGACAGAAAATCCTCTTGTGAAAAAATGAAGAATAATTATTTCCGAGTTCCTACTTTCTGGCGTTCTTTCAAGCCGACAATGCACACATCAGCGCTGCCCACGACGGCCACCAAAAAAAAAAAAAGATGACACGTCGTTAATATTCCAGGTTCCTGGTTATTAAGGATGTTCAGCGGAGGAGATGTCACCCATTGTAACCGTTTGCGGTTACAAACGGTCGCGCCAACTACTGAAGGGTGCGACTGGAAAATAGTTTTACCGCGTCGAGCGCGCGATGGAAATGCCCATCAAATCACAAAAGATACGTAACACGCGGTGACAATAGATGCCATCGTACCTCGCTGTCAATACCCATTTCGCTTCTGCGAGCACAGAAGTGACGGCTGGTCCGACGGACGTGAAAACTGCACTGGAAAAAAACGTCGTTTCTCCGCTATGCGCTGTAATAGAATGCGCGGTAACGTGCGTTACGTCGTAACGCCACGCCGTTGCCGCCAGCGACGATCTAATTGCGCTGTCGCGACGATCCTCCACTCTGCAATCCTGTTTTTGAAGCCAGAGAACGGAGAACCGAACGGGAAAATGGGACGCGATATCCTGATATCAGCTGGATATTCCATTCAAACTGCACTTTACATATGCAGTAACGGCGAACTAAATTTATCGAAAGTTTATGGAAATGAATTTCAAAGTGCATGTCGTTATCAAATGTCGTATATAATTGGCATACAAAAACAAAAAGTTATTTAACTTATCGACGAAATCATAATTTATGTTTCAATCGAAAATCAATCGTCCCATGTAAACTTTCACAAATTTATAGGTGCAATTCCGTTTTTCTACTATGTTACATTTTAATGAGAGGTTCTCTCATCAATTTTACTTTCGAACACTTGGTGACGCAATCGAATATTTTTCTCTAATTCTTTGGCAAATAATTGGTTTAACCGTAATTGAATATTGGAAAAAAATTTAAAGCCTTTAGCAAAACTGTTTGATTAAGGTAATTTTTGAGAGCAATCAAATATTTTATTTATATAATAAAAAATACAGTTGTTTTTTGCAAAATAATTTTTTTGTAAATAAAAATATTTGTTTACACCAGCTAAACAATTAAATTCACGTAAAATTACAGTTATGCACGGTACATTTTAATAAACAATTCTTATTCGGTATATTTTAATCAAATTTTTGTTGTAACAATCAAATTTTATTCATAAAACAAAATATTTGTACATATAAAGTTATTTAATTCATCAACGAAATCATAAATTATATTTCTTAAATCGAAAATTAATTGTTTCTATAAACTTTCACAAATTTATAGATATGACGTGTGTATTTATATTTTTTTAATGAGAGATTCTTCTATCAATTGGAGGTATACATATTTAACTTTATGCTTTTGCAAAAAAAATTATTATTACAATGAAAATCCAAATTAAAAGATTAATGATTATCAAAAATTGATAAGAACAAAATACACTACACATTTTGTTAACGTTATTTTGCTGCTCCTATAGAAAAGTAATTTATGTTTCTGAGGAAAAAAGATATTACAATACGGCATTAAACGTTCTGCGGAACGTGAAATAGAGAGCGAAGCTGTTTTTACACATTAGTCCAGCTTTAAACTACTCACCATCATCAATCTCTCGTACTCTTCCTCAATGACCGTGCCATTGTAGTACCTCTTGTCCGATTTCGTGTCCGGGTAGTAGAAGCCTCGTTTGCAAACGCATCGATAACTACCGCGGCGGAATCCAAGCCCGGGAATGGCGATGCACTGTGAATAGAAGACAAAACAATCAATTGTATCTAATCAGGGTGACGTGTTCAAGCCTTTCGTTACTGTGGATGGCTATAATCCATCGGAATTGTTTCATGATTGCTGATTTAATTCGCGGATCTCTCGACTGGACACGATTGAGTGTCTCTCTTAATTATCATCTGCTTTTCGTTATAACATGTCGCACAGATGAAAGTTTATTCTATTGTATATAATCGATCTGATATGTACTAATAACTTAAAATAACGTCCATAGCACATTTTGATTAGACATTGCTTTAACGAAAAGGATAATTTGATTAATCTTTGAAAGAATCATAGAGAGAGATTTTAGTTTAATCGAAAAATTAAATTATTAATTATCGACAAGAATTGAAAAAATTTAATGATAAAGTTAATTTAAAATAAGTCAGTATTGAACTTTATGTTAAAATTAACTTAAAAATTAATATAACGCGATTTAAAAATTAATATAACGATTTATAATCAATGCTACAAGACTTCAACATTTTGATTTAATTTACTCTAATTTTATGGAAACTATTTAAAACAGTAAAATTGAAAACATTTTATTAAAAAAAAATTATACGTAGCTTAAAAACTGGTAAATTCGTTGTTTTTCATTTATGTAGCGCTATTACCATATTATGTAAGTAAAAAATGAGAGAATATTAAAAAAATATTACAGTTGTGAGATAAAAATCCCCATTAAAATAAATATATCTACAGTTACAAGGTCAAAACAAATAAAAATGAAAATAAAAAAGCCAGAGATAAAATGAGACAAAATAGCGTCATGAAAGGGAAAGAGTAAAAAAGCGTGAAAAATGATTCTTATATCGTTTTTATAACAACGAACATGTTTTACCCCTCTAAAACCCGCGCAGTTCACGCGACCGACGGGGAGAAGTGTGCTCGAAAACGTTCTCTCCAAATTGCGATCCTCTCCAAGTTCGTGAGTTATCGTTGGCCACGAATCGGAAAAACGCGGTTTCGGAAAAACACGAGGTTTAAAGTTTGGGGTTTACATAAGGCGTCGTCGGTCGACAAGTGATATGTATATGCCATTCTACGTTTCCCGTAATTTTCAGGAATTTCCCCCGTATATTTACCTACACTCTTACGTGAGGAAAAGCTGAACTTTTAGAAATTTAGACTCACATCTCCATAATAACGAAGATGTTAAAAAATTTGTGATTTAAATTTTAATGGAGAATTTCAAATCACGTTACAAAGAGAAGTTAACGTTGGCTCCATTCATGCTTTTACTACCGTGAAGCGTTCCGTGAAATTTGTCAAGAAATTCACGAGGGAAAGTACGTGACTTACACTACAATTTAAATATCATTCTGACAATATAAACCACAAAAACTCAATAATCCCGAGAAACGGAAATTTAGCTTAAACATTTATTTTAAAAACCTCTGACGCATTTCCTTCCATTCTTTCTCGTTCTCTTTCTCGAGTTTTAATCTGTGAAAAGTATTGTATGTATAACACGCCAATAACGCGCGCGCGGGTTTGTTAAGAGGTGAGAAAAACGCTGCGCAAGCGGGGTGGTTTTCGCACAGCGGATGCTAGTTGCGGCAGGGTCGACAGTGGCATTTACAAATAGAGTCGGTCGCCACGCGGAAAAACATCTCCCCGGTGGTTTTGCCTTATTCCGTACGGTACGTTTAAGCGCACGTCGCGCCCGACACGAGGAAGGACACTCGCGGGAGACATCGATCCTGCGGGAAGAACGCAACGAGAAATTAGCATTACCTCAGTGGTGCGCTTTTTGCACTTGTCGCTGGCGGCGAATATGTTCAGCTGTGTGGATCCAGCCGGCAACGGGCACTGATCTATGTCTACCCGACGGAGGTCTATGTCGATACCGCTGGTACCCCTGCGAACGATAAATCAAACGTTTTGTGATTAAACTCCAGAGGCACCACGTACATAAGATAGGCTTACACATTAGATTTAAGCGACCGACTTGCGTCGGTTACTTCGCAGGGGTGCAATCTCTCGTGAAGGCGCGAGAACGTCGACGCTGCTCTTATCGGAATTAGATTAGTAGTAGAAACTAACGTCTGTTTTTACGCAATTCAAGTAGTAACTAACATCTGTTCCCAACTGGCAACTCCACAAACTTGTATAATCGCGTTTCACCACGTCTTTCGACATTGAGCTTTAAGGGGGTATCCTGCTTTACAACGCAAAAAAGTAGCAGTTTTTTACGATTTTTTTTTGAAGGGAAAGAAATGACCAAGCTTTGCGATACTATAGGTATATTTTGATATATATTTTAAAAACTTATATAAATTTTTTCGTTAAAAAATATTATAAAATGGCCGACTTATAGGCTATTGAATAAAGCGCCTCACAACTGGTAGTCCATATTGGCGGGCAATGTCTACCTCGTAGTTCTTGTCTGAAACAAAAAAATTCACAAAATTTTTAATGTCCATAAATGTATTTCGTCGTTGAACTAAGAAAAAACTGAGAAAATCGCGAAATCGTTACTTTTATTCAGGTTTTTAAAAAATTGTGTATTTTTTGGGATAAAATATTGTCTTTAATGTGCTGTAAAAATTTTTTAATATGCATTTTCAAAAACGCTTTTAGTTCATCGACGAGAGAATTTAATTCTGAAGAGAATAAGCATTCATTCATTTCAATTGGTTAATAATTTTTTTTGTAATCGTGTACGCCAATTTTTTAAAATCGTAAAAATGAAAAGTCGAGAAAACGCGCGCCAAAGTTTTCGATAAGAAAAAGTATCGATTTTTGGTTTCTTACCGCAATTATCTGTTAATCTGCAATTCCTGGCCCATAAAGTAGGCCTTCTTCTTTTTCTTCTTCTTCTTCTTCTTATTCGTTATTTGCACGTTCCACAGATTATTAGGACAACTCGACCCGTCCGACGCGCGTATACCTGCTCAGCGCCCTCTCGGTGCCGCTTTGCTTTTCCGTCTGTATCTTAGAAAATACGTTGAAATAACTTTTGAAACTTTGGTGGGATATTCTTAGATAGTTTATCTATCGATTTAAACAATAACGAAAAACATCGATTTTTTCGACTTTATAAAGCAGGATACCCCCTTAAGGATGTATACGCATCTCAAAGCATTACCAAATTTTATAAATTCTTCTATTATTCCCCCCTCCCTCTATCGTCCAAGTATTTAATTACAATTCTCTAATTATAATTTAAAAGTTATTTAATTTTTTGCTAGTCTTAATTTTTATGGAAAATCCGGAAAATCGTATGTAGAACTTACTTGCAAATTTGATAAACAAGTACGAATTATTTTAATTAAATTTTTTATATGCACTATAATAAAATTATAAAAAATATTTTTTTGTGCAAGAGTTCATTTGGATCTGCTTACTCGTTTAAAAGTTATTTACAACTGCGTAAAATATGGTATTTGGCTGCATAAAGCCAATATAAGCCAAATTCTTTATTGTTTTGTTTTTTAAAATGTCAGGACGTATTTATGATAAAAATTAGTTGGCTAGCATTGGACTTTACAACTACTTTTTTAACTGATACTTTTTAGCCGATATTGTCTAACCAAAACGTTCTTAATGATCGGTCTCGCTGTGTTATTTACGTTCATAAAATACCAAAATTTGAAAAAAGACAGGAAAATTCCTGAATATAAATGCAAAAGAATTTGTATTATACAAGAAGGGCAGATTTTAAAATCTGATTTAAATTCATATTTAAAAATGACATTATTTAAAAAAAGCGGTAATATTAAAATCCCGTTTCGCAATTTTTTTCTTAAATTTTCACTATGATGTGCTCCGCGCGTTCTCGTATTATATATTAATATTTACCATCAAATCAAATTCTCTTGCTTCGTGGCTCCTAATACATAATTCAACAGTGCGCGTGTTGCAGCCGATTATGCGTGCAATATATCTTCCGCTGATTCTCAACTCATGTAACCCGATAATCCTTTCTTCAACATAAAACGCAATATGGTTGCTTTGTGTGAGGAACAGATATATAATACAATATCAATAGCTACTTCATAACATTGAACGACCTAGGCATAACCCGTATCAATTTTTTTCAAGAATTCCTTTTTAATATTGTACACAAACGTTTTAATTAAAATTCACGTGAAACTTGATCGCAGTGGATGATACTGCTGTTCCTTCAAAACTACGAAACTCAATGCAAAATCGTTTCTCAATTATCAAGGTCTAAAATTAATTTCTCGTTATTGAACTCGCTGTAATTATTTTTAACCCTCTCGCCACTGAGTAATGGCGCCGCCCAGGTCTGGGACACCCTGTATAACGAACCCCCCCCCCCCCCCCCCCCACCCCCCTATTCGACTCCCCCTCTTTCGATAGTTGGCCGGTATCGATTCTTGATTTGCAAGAATTACGATGCGTTCGCAGTTGCGCTGATAACAAATTTCCTTTAAACGGATATTGCAATTCTTCAGAGCGACATAGCCCCGTTCTTTTCCGTTCCGACATTTACCATGATTTCTGCGTGCAGTGGGCCGTGAAATTTTGCATTTTTGGATTTAAACGCGCGAGAACGGGAAAGCAATGTTATTTCCGACGTGCGATTGCGAACAAATTTTCGCTACTAGCGAACATATCGCTTGGGTATTTCGTGAATGGTGATTTCACTTAGTCCAGTGAAGTGGAAACGTTTTAGCTACATGGCAAAAGCGCTTTAATTCACTCGGACAGCGGGCGCTAAATAAATTTAATTTCTTAGTTAGGATAGACGTGAAACTTTTAGCATGAACGCTCCATTTTTTTATGAGTACGATCTAAAAGTATGAAATGCGACGATAAATTATAATAAAAATATTAAACAATAATAGGATTAAAATACACAATTATCTTGGATCTAATTAGTATAAGACCAAGAATTGTCATCTGAATGTAACTTCTTATATTATCTACACAACGCATAAACCATCCCTAGAAATATTAAACACAATACTCCGTTTTGAAGCATTAGGAATCTAGTTTTATGGACAATGGATTTTTGCGTATATTATTTTATTGTCTTTCATTGTATATTTTACGATAACAATTTTATATCGATATAGTAATGAATGGTTGTATAAATTGTATATTCTGCTGCAAACAGAGGAAATATTTTGTGTTAAAAATTTTTTTTAAATATCTTGGACCTGAACATACAGTAGTAATAACGGCAATACGAAAATGGTAATAATGTACCATCGCATACCATCGTTACCATGAAATTGCAAGAATTTTCATCCGAATTGTAGCAGAGCTGAATCGCAAAGGATAATATTTCCAATTTCCATGTTGAAGGCCAGCAACAATTAATATCACTGCATTGTTTCATAGAAAATGAGAGAAGAGGAGAGGGATTCTCACTCTGTTGACACAGAGACTTCAAATGGCCGATCTCGGAATAGAACTGAAAGCTTCTCTGAACAGTTAAATCAATTTGCGTAACTGAGTTCCGTTCGTATTTTATTTAGATTAACTCTTCGTCTCATATGACAGCACATTTACAACATATCTAAATTTGCTATTAAAATAAATTGAATATTGATTTAATATCGCCTTCTGTGTGTTCCGTTTGCTGCAACTATTTCTGTAAAAACTTGTTGCAATCAAACTGGTAATTTTATATTATAGATTGAGCTTTTTATAGCGAATATATATGTTAACAAGAGATGATACTGTTTTCTTTTAAACTCTCTTCTTATCCTGTGTAAGCAAAAATTTGATTTTGTTTACATAGAAAGATAGTTAATTGGATCATGTCCCATGTATGCGCAAAAAACCAGTTAACAATGTTGCGGTTGTTGGTTGGATTCTTCCTGCAGCATTTAATCCAATTATTCTACCGGCAACGTCAATCAATATAAATATTTGAAAACTGTGAGAAGCACAAACAAATGTCTCCCATGTGCAATGAAATAAAATCAGATTAAATCGAAATCAGATTAAGTAAAATATCATACGTAAATACAACGAGAAATAGAATTACACAGCTGGCTTTATTCGGCATAACCTTTTTATTTATATTTAAGGCAATATTATATATACTTAATTTGTTATTTACAATCTATAACTTAATTGAAATCTATAAATTAAAACGGATCTTATTTTAATAAAAGTTTGAGATTTAATATTATTATTGTGATGTAGCGTATCAAAGAATTTTAAAAAAATTGCAATAATTTATAATATCAGAGATAACTTTTATTATATTACTGAGAAATTGAGTTCAAATCGACAAATCTAGCAGAAGGAAAATACGATTGTTTTTGGCGCACTCCGTATATAAGGGCATCCGTATTTAAGCTATAAGAATTTTCGTCGGACTATAATAAGATTCTATAAGGGGTATGATATCTGCATACTTCATCGCCAGGAAGGTGAGGAATGCTGGAAATATCTCGGCCCCGTGTTCATCAAATTGGTCGTATCGATTATCGATTGCAGTTGCGAAAGGCCTGGGTTTCAAGGTTTCAACGGGAGTTCCGAATTATCATCGCTTTCACGAAAGCGCGACTTCACCTTCCATTAACTTAAGTAAAGTCGGAGTCTTGTTATTGTTCGATTAAGTGCACGTAAATACTCTTCCAATCTATAACGCAATGGCATAACTTAACATTTTTTTTAATTTTAAATAAATATATGTAAATAAATGATTAATTACATCAAAAATATATAATGCAATTATAATAAAGTAGATATTTAGCATATATGTGTAGTTTCTTTTCATTAGAAACAACGCTGCATGTTTTATAAATATCGAATATCTAGTGACATATCAAATCTTAATTAGGATATGTTTCTTTCAAAACTTAAATTTAAAACACAAAATAAAGATCGTATTCATAAGATTTTTACAGGATGAAGTAGATTATTGTATTAAATTTTATAGAGAAAAAAAATCAGAGTATATTGTCTGCTCGGTTCGGTATATTTA